AGAATATCAAAAAGATGCTTACCTGTATTTTGTTGACTATGCAAAGGCAATCATGGATCATAACAAATTATGGACAACATTATAAAAAAACGGGTATTCCAGAACCCTTAATTGTGCTTACACAGTACCTATACATAGATCAAGAGACAATCGTTTGAGTAGAACAAAGAGATACTGCATGGCTTAAAATCAGAAAAGATGTGCATCAAGGTTGCTTCCTCGCACCATATAAGTAGGCTAAGCAAATCTGTACGCTAAGCAAATAATCTGAGAAGCTGAACTATATCAAGAAAAACAAGACATCAGGATTGGAGAAAGACGCATTAACCTGTGTTATGCAGACGACACAATCTTGCTTGAGAAAAGTGACGACAATTTGAGTACTTACTGATGAAGATCAAAGACTGTATCATCCAGTGTAGATTATACCTCAATGTGAAGAAAGTGAAAATCTTCACAATTGGGCCCATATACAACATCATAATAAATGGTGAAGAAATTGCAGTTGTCAAGGATTTCATTTTACTTGGATTAACAGTCAACACCCATGGACGCAGCAGTCAAGAAACAAAATGTCATATGTGCATTGGGCAAATCCGCTGCAAAAGACTTCTTTAAAATCTTAAAAAGCAAAGATATTTTTGATAACTAATGTATGCCTGACCCAAACCATGGGATTTTCAATCACCTCATATGCATATGAAAGATGGACCGTAAAAAAGGAAGACCAAAGAAGAATTGATGTATTTGAATTGTGCTGTTAGTAAAGAATATCGATTATAGAATGGAATACCAAAAGAACAAACAAATCAGTCTTGGAGGAAGTGCACCGAGAATGCTCCTGTGATGCAAGGATGGACAGGACTTCATCTTGTTTACTTTGTACAAGTCATCAGAAGGAACCAATGCTGAAGAAGGACATTATGTTTTATAAAGTAGAGAGTTAGCAAAGAAGGAGATGCTCAATAACAAGGATTGACACAGTGGCTACACCAACATGCTGAGCTCTATCAGTGATTGTGAGGATGACACAGGAGCGGGCAATGTCTCGCTCTTGTATACACAAGGTCACTATGAGTTGGAACCAACTTAACAGCACCTAAAAACAAGAAGTTATAAAAAGAATAGCAAAATAAACTCAAAGAAAATGTAAGTAAAAATATAATAGGCTCCCGTGGCTTCCAGCCAAGCAATAGACAGGCATATAAGGTGAGCATTTACACATGTAGATACACTCCTTAGAACAATCAATCATAGGAGATCAGAAGTATTTGCACAGGCAGCTAGCTCAGGGGGCAGGAATGCATCGGAAAGAAGGACACAGGGAAAAGGTAATCACAGGGAGGAAGTGGGAAAGGACCTGTTACATTGTGGCGATTGCCATCAATGTCCCAAAACAAAATGGGTATGAACTGCTGTCTGGAAAATGAATTTGCTCTGTAAACTTTCACCCAAATCACAATAAAACAAACAAACACACACAAAAAAAAACGTAACAGGAACCTGCCTATTTAAAAGACAGTGGGTTTCATATATAAAGGCTTATTTTTGTTCTTGTTTTGTCTCAAAGTTGGTCTAGAAATGTCTCCTAGAGGAAGTGTACCTGAGCATTTCCTGTAACTTCTCCAGTCCTGTGGGTTTTAATAGTGTTATTAGTTCCCCTCATCATTCCTACTGTCTTATGAAAATAACATTCATATAAGAGCTTATTTAAGTTTTTATATACCCAAACAATAACTCACAAGCTCCTGTGTGAATTACAAAGTTGCTATCATTTGATTTTAAAGGAGAATGGAAAGGGAAAAAATGGATTTGATAATATATTTTTTCTGCAAATAGATTTCTATTTTGTTTAGTTTTAAACAAAAAAAAAAAAAAATCAAACTATTCTTGTTGTTGTTATTTGCCATCAAGTCGGACCCGACTCATAGCAACCTCTCCTTGGGTTTACGAGGCGGTATCACTACTGAAGTAGATTGCCCAATATTCCTTCCGAGGAGTGGCTGGTGGGTTTGAACTGCCAGCCTTCTGATTAGCAGTCAAGTGCCTTAGGCACTATGCTAACAAGTTGTTGTTGTTGTTATTTGCCATCAAGTCAGCCCCGACTCCTAGTGACCCCTCCTTGGGTTTCTGAGGCAGTTATCACTACGGAAGTAGGACTGCCCAACCTTCCTTCCGAGGAGTGGCTGGTGGGTTTGAACCTCCAGCCTCCTGGTTAGCAGTCAAGTGCCTTAGGCACTATGCTACCAGAGCTCCTATGCTAACCAGAGTTCCTTAAATCACACTAAGATTCTCTATTTGCTTTAAGATTAACTTCTGCTATTTATTTCTCAGCTGGTCCAAAACGAAGGAGTATATGTGAATACACAAAATATCATTTAAATTAATATGAAACAAACTTTCCTTACTTTCTATGTCTAACAAAAAATCACCAGGAAACCAGCTCCAGCGTTCATTTCACTAGTCTGGAGTTTGTTAATGTGAAAAGTCTTTGGAATAAAGCAGGTGGTTGACAGACATTTTGTCATCCAATCTATGATTCAATTTCCTGGGAATTTCAGTCCATGTTCAATTTCAAATTCAAAGACTACTTATCCTTTTGATTTTCCTTCCCCCTCAAAAACATTAAGGGTAGAAAACTAAGAAATTAAATCCAAGCTGGTCAATTTAGTTCCTATAAACAGAGCTATAAAATACCAAAGTATGACAAATTACTGACAAAAATACATAAATAAATAAGGTTAGCAAAGGCAGGCAACTAAGTTTCCTAAGAACCTCTTAAATTGTTTCATTCTGTGAGCTTCTCTTTTTATATTTTATACCAAATGCAGATACTATTTTTAATATCTATTTTTCTTAGCTTCCCTGTTTATATTTCATTATCTACATATCCCATAATACTTCAAATTTCTGGCATTGGATAAACTGCTGCAAATCCACCTTCTCCCCAAATGAAAACTATGAATATAAAGGAAAAAAATTACTAACAGCATAAATCTTCAAAAAAAAAAAAAAAAAACATTTTCCTACATCTATAAATATCTGAGAAATTAGAATACTTTCGGAACCTAAAATTGGTCAAGGAAACAGATGTTTGAGTTCTCCTAAGTATAGCACAGGGAATACAGTTTGGCATCAACGATAATTCCAATGAAAGTGTATTTCAAAAAGCATTGTCTGACTATGTGTTTAGAATATGTGAAGCTAAATGTTTTTACTTCTCCTTGGTAAGAAAGTTGTAAGGTTTTAGTTTTTTAAAAACATAAACTTTATCTTTTCTTCAGATGTGTTGATACAGACTGGAAAAAATATGTACCTAAGAATTAGGAAAAATATATTTTGGCATAGAATTGTGCATCTTTTTGGAACTTAATACAATCTACTTAGTGTTATAGGTATTTGTGTACATTTTATGTCCGTGACTAGATTATAAATAACTTGGAAGCAACAAAACATAGTCTATTTCGTATTACTCATCATGTCTAATGTAGCATTTTCTACACAGTAGGCAATCAATAAGTAGCAGTAAATGTGGAAATACTCAATAACCATGCAAAAAACTTACTTAAAATTAACAGTGAAGAAGGAGGCTATTTTATTCTTAATCATATTGTAATGAAGACTATTTTAAACTCTATGCAATGATAACACACACAAATATTTAAACTATTTATGTGCCTCAACTTGACATAATTTCATGATAACTTGATGGCAATCACATTTAAATATATTAGAATATTTTTTGTAACAATGCTACTCTAGAATAGCAACTTTAATAGATGGGAAAACATGTTAATAATGGCCATTAACCTGAAGAAAACAGGGAACATTAAACTTTTTTTTTTTCAGAAATAAATGTATAAGTTGAAACATTCCACTATAATATTTATGAGCAAACCTCAAATTAAAATTTATAAAATGCAAACTATCAAATGTTTCACTTAGAAAATAATGAAGACTATATTCTATAATTTTTCCAGTGTACATATGCATGAATACTGTATAAAAAAGGTTCTTTTCAAGGTTGTAGTCACTTCTTGGTCACAGCCAGCTACCTAGAGGGAGCGAGTAGTTGAACCTGTGGGCTTGGGACCATAGTCACAGGGGACATCAAGCTCAATTGGCATAACATACTACACAAAACATAGTTCCACCTCCTACAGTGACTGGGATCTTAAAAGCTTGCAAGCAGCCATCTAGATGCAACGATGGGTCTCTCCTCGTCCAGAGCAAAGAAGAATGAAGAAAACCAAAGATTCATGGAAACAATTAGTCCTAGTGACTGGTACACCATTCGACCTACAGCCTATACAACTATGAGACCAGAAGAACTAGATGGAGCCTGGCTACCACTATCAACCACTCGGAGGGGGATCTATGTAGGAGATCCTGGATAGACAGGGAGAACAATGTAGAACAAAACTCAAAATCATTTGGAAAAAAAAAAATGACTGGGTTTGCTGGTCTGATAGAGCCTGGTGGAACCACTGAGACTATGGCCCATAGCTGCCTGTCAGGTCGGAATTGAATCCACACCTGTGGCTTCCAGCCAAGCAAAAGGCAGGCATAAGAAGTGAACATTTACCTGAGGTAGACACACTCCTTGCAGAGAACAATCATGGGAGAAAGAAGGACTATTTATGCACAAGGAGACAGCTCAGGGGGCAGGGATGCATGGAAGGATGGACACAGGGAAGAGGTAACTATCGGGAGGAAGTGGGAGGGGAGCTGTTGTATTAGGGTAAATTATAGTCAATGTCATGAGACAAAGTGCATGTGAACTGCTGTATGGAAAGTGAATTTGCTCTGTAAATTTTCACCCAAATCACAATTTTTTTAAAAAAAAAGGTTCTTTTCTCCTTTAGTGTCTTTGAGTAATTACTCTCTAAATATCAAAGTGAATTATGTTTTGATGCAAAACCAAAGAAATTCAGTAAGTGTCCTCGATTATCAATCAATATGATATTAATCAATAAATACATGTAGGTGATTTTTCTTACCTTTAGGACAGCTATGAATGGCACAAAGTTGGCTCTTTGGAGTCCATTTTTATAGAGATCTGAAAGAAAAAATTGGTATTAGGTTTTTTAAATTTAGCTTAAATCATAAAGTTAACTTATCTTTTAGCCTGGCAAATACAGCTTTCTACTGATAAAATAGGAGCTCTGGTAGCGTAGTGCCTAAGGCACTTGACTGCTAACCAGAAGGCTGGTAGTTCAAACCCACTAGCCACTCCTTGGAAGGAAGGTTGGGCAATCTACTTCCATAGTGATACTGCCTTGGAAACCCAAGGAGGGGTCACTATGAGTTGGGTCCAACTTGATGGCAAATAACAACAACAACAACTGATAAAATAAAAGAACAAAAGAGAAGAAAGAGAACCAAAATTTACTTCTATTCTTGTACTCCACAAAATTCATTACAATCTTAGTAAAATAGTCACAGAAGAAACATCAAAAGGAATTAACTTTTGACTAAAATAGAAAGCAAAAAGAGTATTTAGAAAACATCTACTAATGATCTTAAATCAATAACCCAATATAGCAAGATGATGTAGTTAAAAATACTTCATACTTGAAGATACAGGATTCTACTAGGAAAGGGCTCCTACTTCCCTTGTTATCACTCTATAATAAAAGATCTCAGTAAAGAATTAAAAGCTGTATAATAATATTAGCCTTTCAAGAAGAAAACATCAATAGATAAAATTGAGCACGTATTTTTATCAGGGTTAGACATTTGCCATCAAAATAAGGAAATACTACTTCACTTTAAAATAAATTGCCTAAAAATTAAAACTCCATGTTTATAGACCATAAATTTAATGCAATTATTATCATAAATAGGTAATATTTATTGCCTCAGAACAGTGTTTTTATTACATTCACTTAACAGTTTGTTTATTCATACACGTATACCCACACATATTGTCAAGAACAAATAAGTGAAAAAGGGCAAAAAAAATTAAACTTTACACATTTTTCTTTTAAAATTGAGACTTCTTGGAAAAATTTTTTTAAGAAGAGGTTGGGATTTTATTGCATATAAAAATTCTGTTTTTTAGAGTCAACTTGATAATGTCATGAGATTTAAAAAATTAAAAAGGAAAAATAATTTTTAATAAAAAAATTAGATAATTTTTTTTTTAAGTATAGCATGGTGGGATCTTTTCTACATTTAATTGTTTAGAGAAAAACTGATATCTAAGATAGATTTCAACTGCCACATTTACTTATGGAAATAAAATATGGTCATTAGGAAACATTTATTCACTTTAGAAAAATATTCATCATAACATCATTATATTGAAGAAAGTATTTGCATAAGCTCTTTGGTTAATTAAGGACTAGAGGTTTCAATTCAGTTACATTTAAAATTTTTATTTAAATCATGATATCATGAAAAGTATGGTAATGCTGGTCAGGCTGTTAGGATTTCAAACTTCAAAATGAGATCTTCTTTTTCCTATAGCTAATATCCCTAATGGATAAAATGCAAGAAATGAGTTTAAAGTTAAATATTTTCTTGTTTTCCCTAATTACCAAGTTGCTGGGGGATGTGGTAAAAAGTTGCTATATGATAACACTTGATAGTCATGATCATCTGAAAGTGGTAAGAATTAAAAATAAAATGAAATAATTAAAAACAGGCACATAATATTTAAAGCAGCTTTATTCATAATAGGCAAAACCTGAAGCTTTATTTGCAACAGTCAAAAACTGAAAGCAATTCAAATGCCGGCCAATAGGTGCAGGGATAAACAAAGTGCTGCATAACTGCACAATGGAATACCATTCAGCAATTATAGATACACACAGCAAAATAGCTGCATCTCAAAATAATTATGCAGAGTGAAAAAAGACCAAAAAAAGCAAGCACATACTGTGTGATTCCATCATACAAAACTCTAAAATGTAAACAAAGCTACAGTGACAGAAAGCAAATCAGTGGTGGCCAGGGGAAGGGAAGAGGCAGAGAGGAATGAAAAAAAGTCACAAGGAAACTTCTGGGGGTGATGGAAATGTTCACTATGTTGATTGCAGTGATTACTTCACAGGGGTATAAAAAACCAAAAACCAAACTCACTGCCATGGAGTCAGATCTGACTCATAGCAACCCCTCCTTGGGTTTCCATTGGGTTTCCAAGGCAGTATCTCTACGGAAGTAGATTGCCCAATCTTCCTTCTGAAGAGTGGCTGGTGGGTTTGAAATGACAGCCTTCTGGTTAGCAGTCAAATGTCTTAGGCACTATACCACCAGAGCTCCTTCACAGAGTGTATACATATGCCAATATTTTTCACTGTTACCTTTAAATATGTCAGCTTATTCTATGTAAATTCTACCTCAATAAAGCAGTTTAAAATTTTTATTTAAAAAATACATACATAACATTGATGAACATCAAAGGACACGCTGTTACAGAATTAAAACTAAGATAATACATTAACGAAAATTCATCTATGTTAAGGTAGTCTTTAGGTCTTACTCATAGAATAACGTCTTTTTATGGATGTCTAACTGCAAAAAGGACTGGGAGGTGGCATCTTCTGACCTCTTCTAACTTCACAAAAAGAAAAGAGAATCACCATCAGAGCCCAAGGCTTATTATTGAGGCCAGACATGCTGCCACCCTCCAGCCTTTTACCAACTCTGAAACCAACCATCCTTCCCACTGTAATCACTACTCTGTTGGGTTCAATAATTTGTTGCAATGGCCACACAGAGCTCACAGACAATATTCATGATTATGGCTGGGGTCTTAAAAGCTTTCAAGCGGCCATCTAAGATGCAGTTAATGGTCTCCTAGCGTTGGAAGTGAAGAGTGCAAAAAAAACAAAGGCATTTGGAAGCAATCAGCCCTAGGACATGACGGCCCTCAAGACCAGAAGAACTAGATGGTCCCCAGCTACCAATGCCAACCACTCGGGAAAGGATCAAATCTGGAGACCCTGGATAGAATGGGAAGAAGAACGTGGAACAAAATCCAGAATTACTGGTAGGATGGAGTCTGGTGAGACCCCCCAATACTATGGTCCTAGGATACATTCTGGGCCTGGAATAAAGCTCATTCCCAGGGGCTGGCTCTCAGCCCAATAGTAAACAAGATGTACATGCAGACCACACAACCCAGGGTGACGCACCCACAGACTGTGAAAATGCATCCCTTGGAGCAATTGACCACGGGGCACCAGAGAGGCAACATTCACATGGAGGAAATGCAGGACAAACAGGAGTGCATAATTATGAGGGGCATGGGGGGAAGGTCACTGGGCAGGAAGGGGAGGAAACTGGGTTAGAGTTGGACATGGTAAAAGGGGGGTGAAACTAAACGTACGCATAATGTTGAATACAAAACAAACCCTTAAAATAAAAAATAAATACGATTATGGGCTTTATTAGAGAAGTAACAGGTTACAATTCAAGTTCAGGAACATGCTGAGGATACAGTTCTTCAACCAGGACAGTCTCCCCTTTGCTATGTTCTTTAGGCTCACCTTTCTGGCCCTTGGCTCTTGGCCTGGCCTCTGCCCTGCTTGGGCAAGTGTTACAAAGGTTTTTTTTTTAGCTCTGCCAATAGGAGAGACAATGCAGGGATGCCAGAGTAGCAGGCCAGAAGAGCAGGGAAGGGGATAAAAGCCTTGAGCCCCAGACTTAAAGGCGAGGAGAGACAATGCAGGGACGCCAGAGTAGCAGGCCGGAAGAGCAGGGAAGGGGATAAAAGCCTTGAGCCCCAGACTTAAAGGCCAGGAGAGACAATGCAGGGACGCCAGAGTAGCAGGCCGAAAGAGCAGGGAAGGGGATAAAAGCCTGGAGCCCCAGGCTTACAGGCAAGGAGAGACAACGCAGGGACGCCAGAGTAGCAGGCCGGAAGAGCAGGGAAGGGGAT